GTGGATAAGGGAGTATCTAAGCAATAGGAAGCAGAGAGTTACGGTGAGGGGTGAGACCTCCGATTGGCGTGAAGTCACCAGTGGAGTCCCACAGGGCTCTGTACTCGGTCCTATCTTGTTTCTGATATATGTAAATGATCTCCCGGAGGGTATCGATTCATTTCTCTCAATGTTTGCGGACGATGCTAAAATTATGAGAAGGATTAAAACAGAAGAGGACTGTTTGAGGCTTCAAGAAGACCTAGACAAGCTGAAGGAATGGTCGAACAAATGGTTGTTAAGAGTTTAACCCAACCAAATGTAATGTAATGAAGATAGGTGTAGGGAGCAGGAGGCCAGATACAAGGTATCATCTGGGAGAGGAAATTTTCAGGAGTCAGAGAAGGAAAAAGACTTGGGGGTTGATATCACGCCAGACCTGTCTCCTGCAGCACATATCAAGCGGATAACATCAGCGGCATATGCCAGGCTGGCCAACATACGAACGGCATTCAGAAACTTGTGTAAAGAATCATTCAGAACTTTGTATACCACATATGTCAGGCCAATCCTGGAGTATGCAGCCCCAGCATGGAGTCCATATCTAGTCAAGGATAAGACTAAACTGGAAAAGGTTCAAAGGTTTGCCACCAGACTAGTACCCGAGCTGAGAGGTATGAGCTACGAGGAGAGACTACGGGAATTAAACCTCACTTCGCTGGAAGACAGAAGAGTTAGGGGGGACATGATCACCACATTCAAGATTCTGAAGGGGATTGATAGGGTAGATAAAGACAGTCTATTTAACACAAGGGGAACACGCACAAGGGGACACAGGTGGAAACTGAGTGCCCAAATGAGCCACAGAGATATTAGAAAGAACTTTTTTAGTGTCAGAGTGGTTGACAAATGGAATGCATTAGGGGGTGATGTGGTGGAGGCTGACTCCATACACAGTTTCAAGTGTAGATATGACAGAGCCCGATAGGCTCAGGAATCTGTACACCTGTTGATTGACGGTTGAGAGGCGGGACCAAAGAGCCAGAGCTCAACCCCCGCAAACACAACTAGGTGAGTACAACTAGGTGAGTACACACACACACATCCACATCCACACACATCCACACACACATATCCACACACACACACACACACATCCACACACACATATCCACACACACACACACACACACACACACACACACACACATCCACACACACACACACACACACACACACACACACACACACACACACACACACACACACACACACACACACACACACACACACACACACATCCACACACACACACACACACACATCCACACACACACACACACACACACACACACACACACACACACACACACACACACACACACACACACACACACACACACACTCCACAAGACAACTCTACGCGTAATATACATGCCACAATACACTAACAAAACCTCATATGCAGTAAATCAGAACTCTTGCCAGCGTAAGATCTCTACAAAGTTTCTTACTGAAATATGCAATCTTGAAGGCATCCTTTAAGACAAGTCATGTACCTTGTAATATACAATCATCTGTTGTCTTTTTTGTCTTGAGAGTTGGACCCTGTTCAGGTACTTACGTAACTCCGTCATCCACCTCCATTAATGTTAGTGACTCGACTCGATTTCTTAAGCCTGAGGGGCTTGAACTTTTAATCACCTGAGGTTCCTCGAACCTATTAATTGACCTCATTACTTCAAAGGTAAGTTCTATTTGTTTCTCTAGTTTCTGAAGCCTATGATTCTTATTTTTAAATTATATATCCTATTATACTCTAGTTACGTCTAGTTACTCAAAGTATATAAATTCAGTAATTTAGATATCAATCAGGACAGCATTTTATTGAAGATGCTCTGAACTTCTTCCGAGAAATTGCTGACTTGGAGAGCGTGCAGAGAGAGATCCTTTACTGCTAGAATCCACTCAATAAAACATCTAAATTATTGGGATCTATTAAAATACCTAAATCTGAAGCCTCTAAGAGCGCACGCGGGAGATGCGTACTAATTTACACATGGAATCCCAGGCTCCAAGAACCCCAGAAAGTAGCCTAAATGAACAGTCACGTGCAACTGTAGAAGGCCTATTGGCCCATACGAGGCAGCTCCTATTTATAACCACCCAATCCCACTCATATACATGTCCAACCCATGCTTGAAAGAATCGAGGGACCCCACCTCCACAATGTTACGCGGCAATTGGTTCCACAAATCAACAACCCTGTTACTGAACCAGTATTTACCCAAGTCTTTCCTAAGACTTGTGCGACATACTTGCCTTAAACCACCAAATAGTACAATTAACGAGAACGAGAGAACACGCTGGACCTTAATATCACAAATAACGATGAATTCATCAGGTACAAAATGATTACAAATACCTGTTACTCATATCACAACTAAATTAAAGTTCAGACAAGCAATGCGAAAGGGAAATTGAACTTTCACAGGATTACAACAAAGAAATTAGCAAAATACAAAGGCAACAATATGACTCCGTTTTCCGTGAGCCCCCTAAACCCACGGAGTGAAACCACACACTAATTCTTTGTGATACCAACATCAAACCCCTTATCAGATAACACCCAATAACCCCACTCTGGATTTCTTGAAAAAGCCAGATTTCACAAAAAGCAAAAAAATCAAATAAAAAATTAAATATGACCATGGTGTCAAAATTACATCCCCTTTCACAGCTGGATAAATTGCTGACCCGGAGAGCGTGCAGAGATCCTTTACTGCTAGAATCCACTCGGTAAAAACATCAGTAAAAAAATCTGTATTCTCTTGAGCGCAGGTGGAAGAGATACATAATAATTTAGACATGAAAAATGTTTGAGAGGCTGGTCCCAAATCGTTGTGGAGGTGGGGTCCCTTGATTGTTTCAAGCGTGGATTAGACATGTATATGAGTGGGATTGGGTGGTTATAAATAGGAGCTGCCTCGTATGGGCCAATAGGCCTTCTGCAGTTAACTTTGTTCTTATGTAAATCTGCACACTGAAAGAACATCACATAAGACCAGAAGGCATGGCAGGATGTGCAGAATACCCCCGGTCGAAAAAGCAGAGGCGCAATAGATACTCAGAGAGAGAACTATCAACATCAGAGGCCCGAGACTGTTCAACAAGCTTCCACTACACATAAGGGGCATAACTGGCCGACCCCTCACAGTGTTCAAGAGAGAACAGGATAAGCACCTCCAAAGGATGCCTGATTAACCAGGCTGTGATTCATACGTCAGGCTGTGAGCAGCCGCGTCCAACAGCCTGGTTGACCAGTCCAGCAATCAGGCCTGGTCGGGGACCGGGCCGCGAAGACGCTTACCCCCGGAACCACCGCAAGGCATCTTAACCAGTTATGGCTGCTCATCGTGCATAACGCCATAGCCCGCTCGCTGAGCAACCAATCTGTTAATCCTTTCAACCGGTAATCCTGATGGGCCACCGCAGCTGGTCAGGTATTTGTTAGGATAAAACAGTGTTGGAATCTGTCGGTAAATCCTCTTATAATCAGGGAGTGTATTCATAAGCCTTTTTTGGGGGGAATCTTTATGTTTCAGACTTTTATTTATAATATATATTTAGGCTATTTTCAATTTATGCCAGAAATAATTTTTTATATTTGCATTAATTTAATTATATATATATATATATATATATATATATATATATATATATATATAGTGAGTGTGTGTGTGTGTGTGTGTGTGTGTGTGTAGGAAAATAAAAAGAGAAATCGGAAATGGAGATGAACGTTTCGGCCAATCAAAGCCGTTGTCAACACCAAACTGACAGAGAAAGAGAAACAGAGGGAGGGTGGAGGCCGACAACTGCTACCTGACCACCCATCCCCAGGGAAAGATTCTCCCAGAAACAGGTATGGATTAGCATAGAGCAGTCAGAAGAGACAAGGGGTCAGAGAATAAATCTCCGAAATGTTTGAAAGATTAAACAAAGAGGAAACCTTACCACCACTTACAAAACATTATTATTATTATTATTATTATATATATATATATATATATATATATATATATATATATATATATATATATATATATATATATATATACATATATATATATTACACAGATCCTTCAGCAACGTCAAACGTCTATTCCTGATGTCTTATGTATTTGTTGATGTTCAGAATAAACTCTCACTTATACACCTTATAAGACGATTTCAAGTGTGCATGTTTCAACTTGAAAACTCAAACTACTTAAATGGTGAAATTATATCTTAGAAAATGAGCCCACCTTAAGCTGGACTTGGCTTTGGTTGAAGCCAAGTCTTAAGAGACAACTTCGAAAGAACAAGAAAGCCTTAAGAGACAACTTCAAAAGAACAAGAAAGCCTTAAGAGACAACTTCGAAAGAACAAGAAAGCCTTAAGAGACAACTTCGAAAGAACAAGAAAGCCTTAAGAGACAACTTCGAAAGAACAAGAAAGCCTTAAGAGACAACTTCGAAAGAACAAGAAAGCCTTAAGAGACAACTTCGAAAGAACAAGAAAGCCTTAAGAGACAACTTCCAAAGAACAAGAAAGCCTTAAGAGACAACTTCGAAAGAACAAGAAAGCCTTAAGAGACAACTTCCAAAGAACAAGAAAGCCTTAAGAGACAACTTCGAAAGAACAAGAAAGCCTTAAGAGACAACTTCGAAAGAACAAGAAAGCCTTAAGAGACAACTTCCAAAGAACAAGAAAGCCTTAAGAGACAACTTCGAAAGAACAAGAAAGCCTTAAGAGACAACTTCCAAAGAACAAGAAAGCCTTAAGAGACAACTTCCAAAGAACAAGAAAGCCTTAAGAGACAACTTCCAAAGAACAAGAAAGCCTTAAGAGACAACTTCGAAAGAACAAGAAAGCCTTAAGAGACAACTTCCAAAGAACAAGAAAGCCTTAAGAGACAACTTCCAAAGAACAAGAAAGCCTTAAGAGACAACTTCCAAAGAACAAGAAAGCCTTCACATTACCTGTAGACGACCATCGAGGCTTCTGGGAATGGTGACGCACTTGGACTGCTGGCCGTGGCTGGAGAGGGCTCGCTCCAGCTCCTCGATGGCCCCCTTCTTCTTCTTCAGCTTCTTCACCAGCGAGTCGACAGCCTTCTCGGCCCACTTCTCCTCCTCGTCGCCCTGCTTCCACCCCAGCAGCTTCTTCACCGCCGGCGACGTGAACGAGAACAGGGAGTTGAGCGAAGTCATTCTTGTGACGATGGGTAGGGAGGGTGTCGTTAACCTAGGCTTCAAGGACCTAGGGGTAGTTGTTCAATCCTTAAATACACGCTACGGCCCTTGGACACAGAATTAGGACTGCAGCAATGGCGTCAGTGTGTGATGAGCCGCTGTTGTTGAGTGGTTGTGGCGACGCTGTTGGCCACGGAAGCGGTTCCTCGAGATCTTCGCCTGATAAAACACCACCAATGACTTACGCCATATGCACTTATTGGACGGTATTTGTGCTGGTTTTGTGTTAATAATGGTTCACGTTCAACTTGTTTGCACTTCAGAGTTTCACAGACCTAATGGGTGTGTTTGCAATTATTAACGATCGTGTATGACTTATAACTACTCTACTTAAGACACTAACAGATCACGTCTTGAACGCTGCACCGTCTAGCATATTTAAAAAAGGTTCTTCTTTGCAAATCTCTAAATCACACACCGCAATTGCACCATTTTCTAGTTCACTGCAGCTCTCAACTACAAACTTGGAATGGGTCGACACAAATACTTTTAAATCACGGTCAGTACAATTTTCTTCAATCGGACACAAGTCCAATTAAACTTGTCACAGTCCACGCGGGTAGGCCTGCAGCCAGTTCACACACACACACGCGTAGGGCCTCCTGGTACAGGCCAGCTCACAGCCCACTCGTGTAGGCCTAGAGACTTTTTGAACACTTAGAACCTAAATAAAAACCGAGAGGGCGGAGCAAGAGCGTGGAGGTGACGTCCGGGGCGGCGTGCGCGCTCGACCGCTGCTCTACCCTGACTGGGCAGAGTGCATGCCGCCTCCCTCGCTATCTCTCCCCCACTTCACTAAATACAATGACCTCAACGTTCAGTTGCCACTATGACAAACCCTCGCACTTTTTTTTTGTAATATGTCTCCACTGTAGGTGGAGGAGGAGTCCGCGCGAGCCGTGTGGGGGAGAGGGGGCGTGCAGGAGGGTGTGGGCAGGGTAGCTGAGAGAGTGTGGGCAGTGTGGGGGTAGCGGGAATACTGGTGGTGGTGGGATGTGGGAGGCTGGGCCACCTGTGTGTACACACCTGGCCGCTAGCCCCGTCAACACTAGCGCACACGGGAGACACACGCCCCGGCCTACACCTGACACCAACACACACGCACCCACACACACACCCGGATGGTGCAGCGTCTCCACACACACTGAGCTGCTGCTGCTGCCGCCGCCACGCTGCGGCCACCTTCAACTCCGTCACCAGAGGTCCACTTAGCGGGGCCACACGCTCGGGGCTCCTCCTATCTTCCTATCGCTAGTCATCTGCAAGGAGAACAAAAAAAAGAAACTACATTAGAACACACTTACAAGCGAGAGTCATCATCAGATAGGACAGCCATGGCAGGAAAAACACACACACACACACACACACACACACACACACACACACACACACACACACACACACACACACACACACACACACACACTACTACTCTCACTCTCTGATCACGTGATGCCCGCTCATAGTTTATGACTGGTAACTCGGGACCACAAGGACACCACTGCCACTGTCGATACGATCGTCTCCTCCACTATACCACCACGGGAGACCCACCCGTCCTGCACCTCCGCACCAACCCCCCTCATAACCGCACGCCTCGCATTCCTCCACTTGGGTTACACAATGCCAATTCCTTTATACTCATTAGCGCAACTAATCACAATCCCACAAAAACAATCACCCACGGGAGAGAAAATAATTGCTTAAATTATCAGCCAATTTCTCAAGGCCTTGTATCTTCCAATAGGACTCCTGGAGTGCCTTAAGGCTTGGTGAAGAAGGTATTAAGGTGCGCGCTTAATCCCGCCACTGATCTGACCTTTGAGATGTATTTGATTGTACAGTTTGATTGTATTTGAGATGTACAGTTAAAACGTATTTTAACTGTCCTCACACTTTAATGCTTAACCTCTCGACTATCTGATAATTACAGGATACGTTAATGAGGTTAGCAGCACTGCCTCCTCGGATTAATGAGCATCACCCTCGGTAGCTTATTTCTTACCACTGACGACACCTGTGCATCTTCCTCTAATCATGGCCGCTTTGTTTACAGTGATAAAAAAAAACAGTTTACGAGCTTCAAAATTTCACAACCGTAGTTGTTATTGTTATAGACAAACCTCGCAGTGCTTCGGAACTCATAGATTGTTTAATAAATGTAAACAAAGCCGCCATGATTAGGATAAGATGGACAGGTTTCGTGAGGGGTCGTGTGAACGCTTTATGAATCCTGGCGCTGGTTAGGGTAAAACAACTTCAAATCTGACGCACCGCAACACAGTGAGATTAACGCACACACACACACACACACACACACACACACACACACACACACACACACACACACACACACACACACATTATACAAGTCTTAACACATTTTATCTCTATTTGCGTCAGGTAAACACTAGGTTTGGTGAGGTCAGGTCAAATTAGACGAGGTTGGGTTACATCAGGCTAGCTCAGGTAAGGTCAGGTAAGGTAAGGTCAGGTCAGGTTCGTTTACATTGATGACTTAGGGGAGTAGATAATTGTGTCAGGTCTTGGACGTCACTCGAAGAATTACGGAAGGACTTAAAACAGTACCTTCCACATGCAGGCGGCGAGTCACAATAACGTGGCTGAAGCATGTTGACCAATCCACACACTAGAAAATGAAGGGACAACGACGTATTGGTCGAACAAATCCACTAGGGCCGTGACGAGGATTCGAACCTGCGTCCGGGAGCATCCCAGTCGGTCCGTCCTGGACCATTCTGAAGTCGATTGTGAATTCTCACAATCGATTTGAGAATGGTCCAGGACGGACCGAAACGTCGTCATCCCATCATTTCCCAGTGTGTGTGAATTGGTCAACAAAGTATCTTCCACACCTAGACCAGGACCCATTTAGAAGTGAGGGGGGTAAAGTCATTACCTCCCTCGCCTCTCATTTCTCTAATCGCCGAAGCTTCATTTATCTCTTGAAATTCTATCCCCAATACTCTGTAAGTTCAATCATATCATCATTATCTCGGCAATAGTATTTCTTGGGTCGTGAGAATAATCTTGGGATTATTCTTCTTGGGATTAATCTTGGGATTATTATTCTTCATTTTTGTACCTTCTTCAACTCTGCCATTACCAGCACAAGAAATGTCAGGGCGCAGCATAATTAATAAGAGACCTCACAGTAAATGTGATTACCATTGGAATATGAAATATAGAAGATAATTAATAATTCTGTACTGTATGGGTATGAGAGCCCCTAGAGGGGACCATATATAGAAGAGGGATAGAAATAAACTAAGCTACTCTATCCTTTTGAGATGTATTTTCTTTTCTCAATAAACTTACTTGAACTTGACCCTATAGGGTCCCGAGGGCACTAAATTGTGTACCGTTCTTATGTGAGGAACATAAGTTCTGTTCTTATTAAGAACATAAGTTCTGAATACTGTTCTTATTCTCTCTCCCTCTATGAGAGGGAGAGAGAATAGCGGGATGGGACAGGGGAGTTGGATGCGGGAGGGAGGGAGAGAGAGAGAGGGGGGAGGAAGGGGTACCAGTCATTACGTAGTCAGGCGGATAGATTAGAGAGGGCAGAGTACAGGCCGGAGGAACGACCCCCTGGTGGAGGCAAGCACGCACACACGCATGCACGCACTCACACTCACACACACACACACACACACACACACCGTCAGTAGTTTCAAAGCGTTATATGACAAAGAGTGCTGGGAAGACGGGACACCACGAGCGTAGCTCTCATCCTGTAACTACACTTAGGTAATTACACAGCCCAGTAAGCTCAGGAATCTGTACACCAGTTGATTGATAGTTGAGAGGCGGGACCAAAGAGCCATAGCTCAACCCCCGCAAGCACAAATGTGTGTAGTATACCCGCTCAAACACACACACACACACACAAACTAGGTGAATACACACACAGAGATACAGTCGCTTCGTGACAGAACCGAGAATGACTGACTGGGAGCCAATCCATAACTGCTAGCCCCTGTTCGCCCAGTAATAATTGGAAACCCGAGAGTAAAGCCGATTGGCAGGTTGTGTTCCAGGGAAAACTAGTAAAGTCTTACCGTGGGCTATGGGGGGGAGAAACTGTGTATGGAGTGAAAAAAAGAGAGTGTGAGTGAGTGAGACTGTCTTTATCTACCCTATCAATCCCCTTCAGAATCTTGAATGTGGTGATCATGTCCAGTGAGGTTTAATTCCCGTTTAATTGTGTGTGTGTGTGTGTGTGTGTGTGTGTGTGTGTGTGTGTGTGTGTGTGTGTGTGTGTGTGTGTGTGTGTGTGTGTGTGTGTGTGTGTGTGTGCGTGTGTGTGTGTGTGTGTGTGTGTGTGTGTTCACGGAAATTGCAGACAAGGCCTAGTTTATCTTGACACCTGAGGTTACAATAGAAAAATACAAGACGCCTTGCTCACACTGCGCTCAGTCCCACAGTTTAGCTGCGGCAGGCAGTGTTAGCGGGCAGGCAGAGGAGAAGAACCTAGTTAAACACAAATATTGAAGTACATCCATGAAGACTATAACTAAATAAGCCCTTTCATTACTTGAAAAATATTACCGCCACACACTCCGGACCTCTAACTTTACTGCTTGGGAAACGGGCCAGATCCACGAAGCAGTTACGCAAGTACTTACGAACGTGTACATCTTTCCTCAATCTTTGACGACTTTGGTTACATTTATTAAACCGTTTACAAGCATGAAAACTTCCCAATGATCTTGTTATTGTTATAAACAGCCTCCTGGTGCTTCGAAGCTCATTAACTGTTTAATAATTGTAAACAAAGCCGCCAAAGATTGAGAAAAGATGTACAGGTTCGTAAGTGCTTGCGTAACTGCTTCGAGAATCTGGCCCCTGGGCTGTTGATCCAGCTCGGTCGCACTTGATTTGCCACTCAATAAAAAATTAAACCTCCTAAGCAGAAACGTACGAACCTAACCAACCCACTTATCCTATTGAGTCCGACGCATAGATAACGCAGATCTGTGAGCCGTTACTTTTCATAGACCTGTATTTGTAACGTTGGTTGCCATAACGTACAAAAGGCGACCTATTAGTCGAGAGGATGGAGTGGTGGCCCAAGGAACGCTCCTGAGGGGCTAAAATATAGGCACGCAATTCTTAATTCTTACCTTATAAAGAAAAGGGGAGGTTAAGGGAAAAAGGGACACATTAACCACAGTGTCCTACCTTGAGGTTACCTTGAGGTGCTTCCGGGGCTTAGCGTCCCCGCGGCCCGGTCGTCGACCAGGCCTCCTGGTCGCTGGACTGATCAACCAGGCTGTTGGACGCAGCTGCTCGCAGCTGATGTCTATTGTGGTTAACGTGTATGTTTCCAGGAATTACTTCAAAAGCAAGTTTATTGAGATAATACATCTCAAAACTATACGAACAGTTTGGGCTATTTCTGCTCTCATCTACTTCAGGTCCCTCAAGGGGCTATAACCACCCAATCCCACTCATATATAAGTCCAACCCACGCTTGAAACAATCAAGAGAACCCCACCTCCACCACGTTACGCGGTAAGGTCCCTCAAGGGGCTATAACCACCCAATCCCACTCATATATAAGTCCAACCCACGCTTGAAACAATCAAGAGAACCCCACCTCCACCACGTTACGCGGTAATTGGTTCCACAAATCATCAACCCTGTAACAGAACCAGTATTTACCCAGGTCTTTCCTAACTCTAAACTTATCCAACTTATACCCATTGTTTCGTGTTGTGTCTTCAATTCAGTTTCTTTCTTAATTATGCACCCCATACCCATCCCATGGGCGGTGGTGTAAAGGATTACAGAGGCACATAATCAGTTCTGGAACTAAACCCTCTAGTTCATTTAGCCAAGAAAATAATCTTTTGACGCTAGTTACACAATTATTAATGATATACATATATACATTATATATATACACACACAGTTATACATATACATGTATATGTATATTATTAGATAGAATTTAGAATATAAAGAAACAGAAATATTGCCGGAACAAAGCTGGATGTCTTCAAGATGCACTTAAATAAGTCTTTGCAAGAAGTGCCGAACTAACCGGGCTGTGGTGGATATGTGGGCATGTGGGCCGCTCCAAGCAATAGCCTGGTGGACCAAGTTATCACAAGTCAAGCCTGGCCTCAAGCCGGGCTCGAGGAGAACAACAGCTCCCGAAACCCTGTGAATTCCTCAACTGTTGCATCTGCATACTGCTGCTCGAGTAAGCCTGCAGTGTAAACATAAGAAT